GTATAAGAAAGGATATTAGTTTTAGAATTAAATTTTAATTATAGTACAGTGAGCAATTATTCAATTAAGCATTGGTGATCAATTTTATTTATTTATTTATTTTTTTAATTTGCAAGTAATATTCTTAATTTTCTTTTATTGTTATTTTACATATTTAATCTAAAATAATTATTCATGATTGATTTTTATTTTTTCTTCTTTAAAGAATTTGAACTCTATAGGGAAAAAAAGTTTCTCCATTTGCAAATTAATCAACTAATCAAGAATGACTAGCTTATTTTGACGAGCATTATTATTGATTAGGTTCTTTATTTGTTAGTACAGTGGATTATCTCCATTAGGGCAAGCGAGCTAATTCAAAGCATGACTATGCGTTGGCCGAAGGCAATTTAAATTATATATTAGCCCACCAATTGGTTGTTGGTGTAGTGATGATTGAGACTATACTTGGTAGTAAAGACCCGTGTTCGATGGGGGGGGGGGAAATTGAATTTAGGTTATATACAAGCTGGGCCGAATTAGGCAATGGAGGGATAACTCTTTATCTTTTCCAAAAAATAAAATAAAAAAGGGATAACTCTTTGAGCTTATAGTGAACTAGCTTATAGTCCCATGCAATGCACGGATTTACTAAAATTTATAAATATTTTTATTTCAACATCTTTTTTATGATTTTTTTTATATTAAGTATGAAAAAATTCGATATTCTGCTAATTATATTAAAAATTATGCATATCTTTTTAAATAATATTATTTTGCTTAAATTTTCTATAAGTTGTTACAAAAATATTTTATTGAATTTGGGATGGAAAGATTATGTTTAAGTAGGAAAGAAAATATTTGAGTATATTAAAATTGCCTAAGATAATCTGACAAAAAAGGGAAAAAAAAAGTGGAGGGAAATTATTTAACCAGATTTTGCCACGTGTCATTTTTTATTCGCCTTTAGTATATAGTTATTGATTGATTATTTCATCTACATTCTTTAATGTGGGAAAAACACCTACAATAATATATGGTGTGATCATGGATTAATCGACATTATTGATGTTATTGCAGGAGCATATATATATTATGCAATGTACAATCTGTATCAACGCAATTGAGGGAGCTAAGAAATAAATAAAAATATTGATTTATTAATCGATTGTAGCTTTGAAATAAACTAGATTGAAATCAACTAGTTGTGGTTGAAGAAGTACTTAAACTTGTCATGGTAGAAGTTAAATTACTTCCAACTAAACATAATAGATAACCCCCCTTTCCTTTCAAAAACATATAATACGAATTTAAAATGGAATTTCATTATGAAACTTAACTAATTAATTAACCTAAGTGACATAAAAATTGTTAGTTAGTGAGTCAAAACTTGGACCCAATCAAATAACAAAAGTAATTAAGCTTCTAGTATAGTCATCAACTATGGTAAATATATATTAATCTGAATCGTTGATGATGTTAGTTGTTTCATCTTAGCCTTTTAACATTACATTTTTAAAAATTAAAAAAGAATTATTGACAAAATTATTTGGTAGGTAGAAATTGGTGAGAGGGAGAGATAGATAGGCCAGATGGGTGACTTAGGTTTTTATAAGTTGTGTATTCATTATTCAATGGACTTGATTTTAAGTGTAGTATATTCAATAAAAAATATTTGTGTAAAATCTTTAAACAATAATATGGTACAAAAAATTTTGATCAATGATTATTTGTGTAAATAGTTACCAATCAAATGTTTTAGTTACCATGGTAAAGGTTTACAATAATATTTGTTAAAAAATTGTTGATTGATAACTAATTGTGTAAAATAGCTAGGTACCAATCAAATGACTTTCACACAAAAGTATATTCAATCAGCTCCCTTGATTAAACAATTGTACCAAGGCTAAAGGCTTTACCCTCTTACCAGTTACCACTACTTTACAAGCTAAGCAAGGAAAAGCTGGTAAAAAAAAAAAAGTTTGATTGAATGTTAGTGTATATGTCAATATGTGTATTTGGAGACATTATAAATTGCTTGCTCAAGTTGCGATCTTGAGTGAATACATACCTAATATTTAAGTGTATTTTATTTCAAACAAAACATTATTGTTTGCACGGCAAGAGAGGGACACTAAGGGCTTGTTCACATTTACTGAACTGAGTTGAACTGATTGGAACTGAACTGAATTGAATATTTTATGAGAGAAAGAAATTAAGTAATTGCGAACATGCCCTAAGTATAGTGTAGATGAAGCAATATGAATTGATAATGTCATAGAATTAATAGTGATGTTACACAAAAGCAAAACAATAGTGGTGTTTATTGAATGGCATCCTGCCTTTTGTTCATCAGTTGTTATTCTTCCAAAACGAAAACTTTGAAATAATTCTTTTCAAAAATCCTCCCAAAAAATCATCCTTTACTTGTTCCATCATGTTGCCAATAGTATGAGTATCAGTAGTCCACCTTTGATGATTGAGAATGGTGATTTGCTTCTTTTGCTTTGTTCGAGTTTCCGTTGCAGACACAGTAAGAATGCCATTAACATCAATATTGAAATATATATCCAACTTTATTTCCCCTTTTGGTAAGGGTGGAAGATCTGAAATTGTAAACATACCCAAGAAATGGTTATCTTTAACTAAGCTTTTTTCGCCCTCGTACACTACGATATCTACTCTTGTTTGGTTGTCTCTTACAGTTTCACAACCCTGTTTTATTTTCATGGCTGGGATGGTAGTATTCTTCGGGAAAAAAACATTGAAATCACGGTTATTTTGTTCGAGGACCTTTATACCAAGAGACAAAGGTATGACATCTACTAGAACCAATTCTTTACCAACACCACTCAGAATCGCGGCATGTACAGCTGCTCCATATGCAACGGCCTCATCCGGATTCAAGCTTTTACAGAACACCTTTCCGTCGAAGAAGCTCTGTAACAACTCCTGAACCTTTGGGATGCGGGTTGACCCCCCGACAAGGACGATGTCATCAACATCTTCCTTTTTCACCTTAGCATCGTCTAGACAATTTTTAACTGTTTCAATACATTTTATGAACAAGTCCATATTCATCTTCTCGAAATTAGCACGGGTTAAGGTTGCTCTAAAATCAATGCCCTCGAAGAGGCAATCGATGTCGATTGTAGTTTGAGGAGCAGAGGATAGGGTCCTCTTCGCTCTCTCAGCAGCATTTCTTAATCTTCCAAGAGCTCGAGGATTCTCACTGATGTCTTTTTGGTGCTTCCTTTCAAACTCCTTGACCAAGTGACTCAAAATTCTGTTATCGAAGTCTCCTCCCCCTAGGTGGGTGTCGCCGCTTACAGCTTTTACAGTAAATTCACCCTTCTTGATGGCTACTAAAGAAACATCAAATGTCCCACCACCAAGGTCGAATATTAGAACATTGATTGCGCGGCTGAATCTACTAGTAGCCTTTGTGTCGAGACCATAAGCCATGGCAGCAGCTGTTGGCTCGTTGATGATACGAACCACATTAAGTCCTGCAATGTTGCCAGCCTCGATGGTTGCCTCACGCTGGGAATTATTGAAGTATGCCGGAACTGTGACAATAGCATTCTTAACCGGTGTGCCAAGGAACTCCTCGGCGATTTCTTTCATCTTTATTAGGACCATTGAAGATATCTCCTCGGGTTTGAATACCTTCTCTTTATCTTTATGACTGACCTTAATCATCGGCGTGTCTTCTTCATCTATAACTTTGAAAGGCCATAGCTTCATATCGTTTTTTACAGTTTCATCACTGAATCTTTTACCAATAAGCCTCTTTGCATCTGTTAAAAGTCACTAATACTTAGAAAAAACTTAGAGTTGAATTTGTTTTGACAGAATAACTTTTATAATTGAGCAAAGTTAGTTGAATTTTGCTAATCCAAATAAAGATCTTACATTATTATTAGCCGGCCACTTTTTTAGTAATCATATTGCAAAATTAAAATACGTACTTTAATAAAAAAAAAAAAATACAATATCAACGTGACTATTAATTGAGAAGCTGGATAGAGAAAGGAACAAACCGAAAATAGTATTGGTGGAATTGAAAGAAGCTTGATTCTTAGCAGCTTCACCAGTAAACATCTCAGTATCTGTAAAAGCGACCCAAGACGGTGTCGTACGATTACCCTGATCATTGGTTATAATTTCAACACGATCATGACGCCAAACTGCAACACAAGAGTAAGTTGTACCAAGATCGATTCCGATTACCGGCCATTCTCCTAGTGATTTTGATTTTCCCATTATTATCAATCGATTAATAATACCCTTAAAGGAACAAGAAAATACCAAAGGGAACTTTTTGTAATTAATCAACTCGATCTGTATAATATAGTTTAGGCCAGGTTACTTGCATATAATTTATATAGTCCTCTACTTTGCATTGGTTTACAACTATTTCTACTTTTACAACATGTTGATATAATAAAGATGCACCGCAGTACCGGGTTATTATCTCTATCTTCACCAAATACTATTATCTTTATAAAATCTTTATTGTATTCGCTAAAAAAGATTATCTTAAAAATAGATAAAGATAATTATTTTTACTTTTTTTAAAAAAAATATTATCTTTTTGGACCCTGAACAAGTGAATGTTTTGGAAATAAATAAGCCATCAATCAAGAGATGTTTTGAAAATTTGTAATCCACCAAAAGAGTGTTGGAAATTTATGAGTCAATAACCTGTGGAATACATTGCACAACTTTCAATTTTCAATTTTCACCAGTAATAATTATCTGGAGCCTTACATGCTAAACTAGCAGTCTAGCACACCATCAAAATATCAGATGATTCAGCGTTGAACAAAGGTGAACCTCGATTTGCCACCACCCACCAGCACTTGAGCTTAAATAAGCGCGTAAATGAGTGGATAGCCAAGGAAAGTAGTATTAAGACAACTAGCTAGTAGATTTCAAGGACCATCAGACACAATATTGTGGCTAAGTAGATGTACAAAAAACATGAGAAACATAAGAAATTCAGAAACTCAGAGCATTACATATGTGAAGAATTCACCAGGATATTAAGGTCAGCGACACACATACAAAGAAACCAACAGAATCAGAATGTATATAATGCTGGAACCACCAGATCACAAAAATAAATGGCAATCATACATTCATACCTGTATTTCTAGCAATTGAGTTTAATTAAAAGCTAAAATCAATTAGTTCTTGCCAATCTTTGTTCTAAAACCTACAGCTTGTGCATTCATTAGATCAATTCTTAATCACTATCAATGATCTCAACCCTTTGTGCAGTCTTGTTAACACGAGCATCATCACGGTGGAGCTGCATTTGTGCAATGATAGGATCGCAGATGCTCTGAAGCTCCAGCATCTTGTCTTCAAATTTACTAGCCTCTGTTAAAACATTCCAATCCAACCACTGCAATGTCTGTTGAATAGCATCCTCAACCTTCCTCCGATCTTTTTTGCCAATCTTATCAGCATCACATCTCAGTAAGCGCCTCTTTTCATGAGCATAGTTCTCCATATCATTCTTTGCTTTTGCCTTACGCCTTTTTTGATCATCCTCATAATTGAGCTTCTCTGCAACTTTTATCATCTTTCCAATTTCTTCCCTTGACAATCGGCCACTGTGATAACTGACAGTCATTCCACTGTTTTTCAGAGTGCTCAGTTCCTGAGCATCACATTTCAGGATTCCGTCAGAATCAACTTCAAAGCAAACATTGATGTCAATACAACTCTTCCGCTTACTGGCAGGAGGAACACCCGAAAGCTCAAAGCTTCCCAGCAAGTTATTATCTCTAGCTGTGATCCTTTCGCCTTCATATACACTAAACAACACTTCAGACTGATTCTTTTTTACTGTATGAAACAACTTCTCCTTTTTTGTTGGGATAGGAGTGTTCCTTGGTATTAACACAGACAACTCTGCATTACTGTTCTCAATACCAAGAGAAAGCGGAGTTACATCAGTAAGCACGAACTCATTATTCTCCATTCCACTCAACATTGCAGCATGGGCTGCATCACCATAAGCAACTGCTTCATCTGGATTGATGCTTTTATTCAGCTTCTTACCACCAAAAAAGTCCTGTAACATCTGTTGAATCTTAGGAATCCTGCTCGAGCCACCTACTAAGACAACCTCATGAACCTCATTCTTTCTCATATTTGCTCCCATCAAACATTTCTCTGTTATGTCAATACACTTCTTAAATAACTCCATGTTCAACTTCTCAAAACGAGCACGAGTCATACACGAAGAAAAATCGATTCCATCAAAAAGGCAATCTAACTCGATAAGCGTGGAAGAAGTTGTAGAAAGGTTTCTTTTAGCTACCTCACAAGCAGCTCTCAAACGGCCCATAGCCTTGTGATTTTTCTTGATGTCTTTTCGATACTTTCTCTTGAACTCCTCCACAAAATGACTTACCATATTGTTGTCAATATCTTCACCCCCAAGATGGGTGTCTCCATTAACTGATTTCACTTCAAATGACTCCTTTTCGATAACGACCAAAGAGACATCAAAAGTACCCCCACCAAGATCAAAAACCATCACATTTTTTCTGCCAGAAGCCTTCTTGTCAAGACAATATGCAAATGCAGCTGCTGTTGGCTCATTAATAATGCGAAGCACATTTAGGCCAGCAATGATTCCAGCATCTTTAGTTGCCTGACGCTGCAGAGTATTGAAATAAGCCGGAACAGTGATAACAGCATCCTTTACATTCGTACCAAGATAGGCCTCAGCAGTTTCTTTCATCTTTGAGAGGATCATTGCAGATATCTCTTCTGCGGAAAACTCCTTCTCTTGACCCTTATAGTTCACTACAATCATTGGTTTCTTCTCATTATTCGATCCAAAGCAAGCAACAACTTTGAATGGCCAAAGTCCCATGTCTTTTAATACACTTTCATCATTGAAGCTCCTTCCTATGAGCCTCTTCGCATCTGTAATCAATTGAAATTTAGGGCCATATGATAGGATGAGGATTAATAAACATCAAATGAATATATGAAAAAAAAAAAAACACACAGCTGCTAAAAAAACTGTTTATAAGCAGTACATAAGACTAGTATAAATTGCATCCAACTGATATGTAAAAGTTATGTTAATAAAATGCCATTCTAATTTCAGTTAACCCCTTTGGAAAACAAATTGAAACAAATGTGCATAACAGTTTTTTGTTACCTATGCATAGTGTACAGGAGCTATAAAACAGGGGAAATGTCTATGACTCATGTCATAAAAATTAACAAAGTTGCTACAATTGTTTAAATCGAACAATCAAGTACGAATAGCTCAATAGAAACAAAGGATGTGAATCAATTTCTCACAGAACAGTATTCTCTGAAGTTAATTACTGTCTTAAGTAGCCCAATTGCATACTAAATTGAGGCATATATGCATGTAACAACTTACAAAGACCCTTCAAGTATTGCTATCTTGTCTTATTAAAATTAACCATTGAACTAATTCCAGTTAACAAAGAACCAAATTACCCATAAAGATTGAAAAGAAGCCGTTCTTTTGCCAAATTCAGACTTTCGTTGTTAACATGACACACAACCCCAATGTCTATGATATTCAATCTATCTTCTGCTAGGAGGGTCACGAGTCACGACATATTAACCATAAACCATCCCATAATAGGAAAAGTGACAACTTTTTTCGGATATCCTATTACAATTTCATGTATGTAGCTATAAATTCCCAACAAATAAATAATGGAGAAACAACTTAGCAGAAAAATTTTGTCAGAAAACCTTGTTCTGGTTTTGTTAGTCACTAATTAAGTCCTTAACAGCTTGATATTAGCACTATTTTACCACTAATAGTTTACTGATCTGCACCTGTTTTTCAAGCCTACCCTCATCCAGTTATCCTCAAAAATAACATTTGTAAACTTAAATTTCAACATTCAAAGAAAATTTATTCATTTTCATACCAAAGGAGATCGAAATAAATATATACACAACATAATCATGAATCAAAAAACCAATTTAAGTCCTTTCCAAAAAAAAAAAAAAACAATTTAAGTACTTGATGATTTTTGCATCATAGCCCATAAGCGGAATGAAACTATTACAATAAGTTGTCCGATTATCTACTCTAATCAACTCCTTAAATGCATAGACTGTAAAGAATAAAGAAAGAAGAGAAAGAGAACACACCAAATATAGTGTTGTTAGCATTGACTGGTGCTTGGTTCTTAGCAGCATCACCTACAAGTCGTTGATCATTTTTGGTAAAGGCGACACAAGACGGCGTTGTCCTGTTACCTTGATCATTCGCAATAATCTCAACTGCGCCATGCTCCCATACAGCCACGCACGAGTATGTCGTCCCGAGATCGATACCTATAGCTGGCGCCTTTCCTTTTTCTCCCACCATACTTGTACTCGCCATACTTTTTTATGAGAAGGTAGAGAAATTGAAAATTGATGAAAAATAACAAGTGTGAATACCCAAGTTTTGAATATTACTTTCAAATTAGATCACTTTCTTAGATATTCTTTTGCTCTTTCTCTCTCTAGCTCTCTTTGACTTTAATGTATGTAGGAGTTGGGAGTTGGAACCCAAAGATTTACGTAGTACGGAGTATCATAAAGTTTACTTTTGGGTTTTGGGTTTGCCCGTTTTTTATTTTCACCATTGCCTGATTTCAAATTCTTTTTTTCAATTTAAATTAAATTTGTGTAGATTATTACTCCCTCCTTCCCTTTTTTATTTGTCATTTTTGAAAGAAATTCATGGGTGAAAAATGTGAAGTAATGAAAGTATATAGGATAGTGAAATTTCCAAGTAATAAAATAATAAAAGTGTATGGAAAAGAGATATTTCCAATTAAAAAAGGAAATAAAGCACATGGAAAAGAGAAACCGAGAGATTCAAGAGTGTAAAAATATTAAATTAGTCAAAAGTTGGCACAATTATATGGCAAATGTTAGGGTAAAATAGAAAGATAACTTAATAAAGACAAAAAAAATTGAGAGTATAAAAGTCTTTTTATGTATCTTACTGTAATAATTACTACTCCGTACTAGGTTAGGGGCACCCAAAATGACAAAAGTGGCAAACAAAAGGGGACGGAGGGAGTATTATAGTTGACTACTAGGTTAGGTTCGGTGTCATGCACGATAATTTTCGATAACTATTTTTTTTAAAGCTTCAATAACTATTTATAAAAGGAAAATGCTATACATAGCTATAAGGGCTACATATAAGTAGAGCTATCAAAAGCTGACCCGATCCGAAATACCGACCCTAACCCGACCTATTAACCGACCCGTCTGAACCCGAAAAAAATGGTGACCCAAACCCGACCTGAAACCAACCCTAGACTCGAGTTGACCCGAGTATTTGAGATCCGAACCCAAACATTAACCGACCTAGAGACGACTCAACCCAAATATAACCCGTAAATTATTGACTTGAGCCGAACCCGACCTGAACCGAAATTGACCTAAACCCGTTTTAACCCGTCAAAACCCGAATTCAACCCGACCTGTTCCTAACCCGACCCGAATTCAACCTAACCTGTTCCTAACCCGGCCTAAATTCAACCCGACCTGATACAAACCCGACTCAAATTTTAACCCGACCTGTTACAAACCCGACTTGTTAATGACCCAACCCAAATTCAACCTGACTTGTTATCGAATCAATATGTATAGGTCGTTATCTCATGTTGGTATTGGAATGGAAATTGAATCCGAACTCTATTCCTTCAATATTTCACTTTGAATTTTAAGAGGTTAGTTTCACAACATGTTTTTAGGGACGAATTTCAGGGACGAAACATGTATTCGCAAATTATTGACTTGAACCGAACTCGACTCGAAACCGACAATGACCCAACTTGGAAATGACCCGACTTGATTATAACCTGCAAATTATTGACTTGAACCGAACCCGATTTGAACCCGAGAATGACCCGACCTGATTATAACCCATAAATATATAATTGACTTGAACCAAACCCGACTCGAACCCGAGAACGACCCGAATTTAACCCGACCTATTTTTCACCCGACCCGAATGTAACCCGATTACCCGACCTAAACCCGACCCAAACCCGATAAGATGTATGACCCGACGTGGTGACTCAAGCATGACCCAACCCGAAACCGACCCGCATATGTTATGACATTAACCCGTATTGACCCGACCCGAGATGACCCGACTCACACTAACACGACTCAAACCCGACCCATTTACTCGAATTCACAGCTCTACATATAAGCATTAAATTTACACTTCAAAATCGTAAAAAGTTAAGAAATCATAAAAATATAAACACTAATTACACTTATTTACGCGTGTTTTTGTCATGAATTCCTAACTTTATACAGTTTTTAAGAATGTACCGAGTATTAATGTTTATATATAGCCCTTAGGGCTACATATAACATTACCCTTTTTAAAATTAACATTGTTGTATTACATTCATTTATTTTTTTTTTCCTTTCATTTATTACAATTGAATGTTGAATATCAACAAAAATGGCAAGAAAAATTACACTAAAAATAATCAACATGTCTATTCTTAGCGAGTATTATTAAAGTATATGTCTTACTCCTGTGAGTATAAATATTCTCAGTGTGTTGCTACTCTGCTAGAAGTTCCTCATGTTTGGTTATCACGCACTCTGATTTTATTGATTCTCTTATTATACTAAGTATTAACCCTATTTACCTTACGGTTTTTTTTTTAATTACTCCCTCCGTCCCAAAAAGAACGACCCATCTGGGTTGATTATACGGGTATTAAGGAAGTTAAGTAAAAAGAAGTAAAAGTATATTGGAAAGATAAATTTATATGGGGTTTGTAAAAAAATAGAGAGAGAAAGTAATAAAATAACATGGAAAATCAAATTTTTATATGGGGAAGCTAATTTTGCACAAATATTGTTGCAAATTGGTGGTGTTTTAATGCAAATGGGTCATTCTTTTTGGGACAAAGTTTTGGCCAAATGGGTCGTTCTTTTTGGGACAGAAGGAGTATTTCTTAATACACTCTGTTTCAAAATAAATATTGTCACAATAAGTAGTAAGATGAACACATACATTTGCCAAATCATAACTTTGACCAATAGCATCTCTAATTATCATTAAGTGTTTGGTTCAAAAGAGATCTAAATTTCCTTAAGAATTTGAATTTCATGGAAAGTATGAGTAATAATTTTCGTTATGTATTCCTAGGATATATAATTGGTTGGCAAAAAAAAAAAAAAAATTCTCATGAATTTCCCATGTTTTGTGGGAACTTAAATAATCTAGGAATTTTAATTTCTTCAAACTTTTTTTAAAAATTTGTAGTGCTATCTCAAAATTGTATTCCTCATGAATTCGACTAGCTCATTCTTTTTTGTTTAACCAAATAAGGGTTAAGTACTATGAATAAATTATAAAAAGTTAATATTCAAGAATTATGTATTGAGATAATTTAAACAAGTTCATATCAACATGACTATTTTTTTAAAAAAATACTTAAATTAGGTCAAAATATATTACATAAATAGTGTTAAAAAGTTATTTACATAATTGTCATAATTTATTTTAGGGGTAATGCTATACATAGCCCTTAGGGTTATATATAAGCATTGAATTTACTCTTGAAAAATGTATAAAGTTAGGAATTCATGACAAAAACACGCGTAATTCGGTGTAATTAATGTGTTTTTGTCATGATTTTCTAAATTTAAACAATTTTCAAGAGTAAATTAAATGATTATATGTAGCCCTTAGGGCTATGTATAGCATTTTCCTTTATTTTAAAACAAAAGAAATACGTCAATAGGACAATAAATGCGGAGTAAGGGTCTGTTTCACATTTACTTAATTTTAGTCAGTTCAGTTCAGCTCTAATCAGTTCAGTTCAATTCAGTTCAGCTCCAATCAGTTCAGTTCAGCTCTTAATTTTTCTCTTTCATTTAATATTCAGTTCAGCTCAGTTCGGTTCAGCTTCAATCAGTTCAATTTAATTCAGTTCAGCTCAATTCAATAAATGTGAACAGACCCTTAATCTACAAAATCACAAGTACCCATATTATTTTGGACTTGTAACGGTTTTATTAGTCGATTAAATTGACTTAAAAATAAATAAATAAAAATCAGAGAAAGGTGATCATAAATTTTGCACGGAGTTCAAAAAGGTAAGAGTAGAGAGAGTAATCACTCCTTTGCATCAAATGAGAGCCTTCAAAGAAACCATTCATAACTGTAATCTGGTAGATTTAGGATATGTGGGACACAAGTTCACTTGGTTCAATAAACAAAAGAAAAATCCAATTCTTGAGAGACTAGACAGGTTCTTGGCGAATGATGGTTGGATAAGACTTTTCCCTCATAATTTTGTCACAAATCTACTTAGGATGTCCTCTGACCATAACCCCCTTCTACTTCAACTTGAGCAGAAAAAAGCCTTTCCTGGTACAGCACCCTTCAGATTTGAACCTCTTTGGCTCACTGACCCTGATTTCATTCCTTTTGTATCTCAAAAATGGAACTCTTACCCCCCTCCTTTTCAACAAAAACTAAATAACTTAGCAAATGATCTCAAACCTTGGGCTGCCAACCTTTTTTCAAACAACCAAGCCAAGAAGAAGAGATTAATTGCTAGAATAAATGGTGCTCAACTAGCCTTTCAAAGAAATCCTGCTTTCACTCACTTGCTGGACCTGGAAAAGGACCTCCAATCTCAATTAAATATCATTCTAGATCAAGAGGAAATTTTTTGAGCAACAAGGGCAAGGTCTGATTGGTTGCTTCATGGGGATAGAAACACCTCCTTTTTTCATGCCTCTGCCATAATTAGGGGGAAAAGAAACAAAATCCTTGCTTTAAAAAACCAGGTAGGTGAATGGATTGAGGACCCTCATCAGATTCATTCCCATATCTTGTATCATTTCAAACATCTTTTTACTTCAGAAAATACTGTAAACATTGAGTCCACCATGTCTCTGCAAGAGATTGACTGTTCTTCCATCCCCCTTCTCTCTGAAACTAAAGAAGCTCTCTTCTCCATTGGGCCTGATAAGGCCCCTGGTTTAGATGGCTTCCATGCAGCCTTTTATCATGCTGCCTGGGACTATCTTAAACAAGATTGCCTCAGCTTTGTTCAACAGGTGTTTTCACAGAAAGCCATCCCTGATCAGATAAACAAGACAATCATTTGTCTGATCCCAAAAATCTTCTCCCCTTCTCTCATCTCCAGTTACAGACCCATTAGCCTTGTCAACACCTCTTACAAGATAATCTCTAAGATTCTGGTTCACAGAATAAGACCTCACCTTCTCACCCTTATTTCTCCAAATCAGAATAGCTTTTTGAAGGGGAGGGGGACTGAAGTGAATTACATAATAGCTTCTGAGATCATGCATTCTATGAAGAAAAAAGGGGGAACAAGGGGGTTGTTTGCTATTAAGTTGGACCTAGAAAAGGCTTATGACAAA